ACACGCTTCGTGGCTCCATAGGGAGCTCCACCGAAGGCCCCAGTGCCCGCGCCCGCATGCGTCACCCACACCCATTTCGGCACACCCCTCACGCGCTTCGTGGCTCCATAGGGAGCTCCACCGAAGACCCCAGCGCCCGCGCCCGCATGCGTCACCCACGGCCATTTCGGCACACCCCTCACACGCTTCGTGGCCCCATAGGGAGCTTCGCCGAAGGCCCCAGTGCCCGCGCCCGCATGCGTCAGCCACGCCCATTTCGGCACGCCCCTCACGCGTTCAGTGGCCCCATAGGGAGCTCCGCCGAAGGTCCCAGTGGGTGTGCCTGCATGCGTCCCGCGCACCCATTTCGGCACACCCCTCGCACTTTTCTTGGCCCCATAGAGAGCTCCACCGAAGGCCCCAGTGTGTGTGCCCGCATGCGTCCCGCACACCCATTTCGGCGCACCCCTCGTGCGTTTCGTGGCCCCGTAGGGGGCTCCACCGAGAAGATTTTTACAATTGCAGTATTCACAATTGCATATGGTTGGGGCCTTCGCCTGGATAATTTTGGATTTCCTATGGAAGCAATCCACGATGCCGGTTTTCTTTTGGATCTCCCGTGGAAGCAATCCAAGATGCCGGGTTTCTTGTGGAATTCCTATGGAAGCAATCCAAGATCCCGGTTTTCTTTTGGATTTCCTATGGGAGCACCCCAAGATCCCGGTTTCCCTTTGGATTTCCGATGGAAGCAGTCCAAGATCCCGGTTTTCCGTTGGATTTCCAATGGAAGCACCCCAAGATCCCGGTTTTCCTTTGGAATTCCGTATGGGAGCAATCCGAGATGATTGTTTTCTTTTAGGATTTCCGATGGAACCAATCCAAGATCCCGGTTTTCTTGTGGATTTCCTATGGAAGCACCCCACCTTCCTGGTTTTCTTTTGGATTTCCCATGGAAGCAATCCAAGATCCCGGTTTTCTTTTGGATTTCCCATGGAAGCAATCCAAGATCAAGGTTTTCCTTTTGATTTCCTCTGGAAGCGATCCAAGATCCCAGTTTTCCTTTGGATTTACCTTGGAACTAATCCACGGTCCCGGTTTTCTTGAAGATTTCCGATGGAAGCACCCCAAGATCCCGGTTTTCTTTTGGATGTCCCATGGAAGCAATCCAAGATCCCGGTGTTCCTTTGGACTTCCTATGGAAGCAATCTAAGATCCAAGTTTTCTTTTGGATTTTCTATGGAAGCAATCGAAGATGCTTGTTTTCCTTTGGATTTCTCATGGAAGCATCCCAAGATGCCGGTTTTCTTTTGGATTTCGTATGGAAGCAATCCAAGATCGTGGTTTTCTTTTGGATTTCCTATGGAAGCAATCCAAGATCCCGGTTTTCTGTTGGAATTCCTATGGAGGTAATCCAAGATCCCAGTTTCCTTTCTGGATTTCCTATGGAAGCATCCCAAGATCCCGGTTTTCTTTTGGAACTCCGATGGAAGCAATCCAAGATGTTGGCTTTTCCTTTGGATTTCCAATCGAAGCTCCCCAAGATCCCGGTTTTCCTTTGGAATTCCCATGGAGGCAATCCAAGATCCCGGTTTACCTTTGGATTTCCTATGGAAGCATCCCAAGATCCCGGTTTTCTTTCGGATTTCCTATGGAAGCATTCCAAGATCCCGGTTTTCTTTTGAATTTCTTATGGAAGCAATCCAAGATCTTGGCTTTCCTTTAGTTTTCCTATGGGAGCACCCGAAGATCCCGGTTCTTTGTGGATCTCCGATGGAAGCAATCCAAGATCCTGGCTTTCCTTTGGATTTCCTATGGAAGCACCCCAAAATCCCGGTTTTCTTGTGGATTTCCCATGGAAGCACCCCAAGATCCCGGTTTTCTTTTGGATTTCCAATGGAAGCACCCCAAGATGCCGGTTTGCTTTTGGATTTCCTATGGAAGCAATCCAAGATCCTGGTTTTCTTTTGGATTTCCCATGGAAGCAATCCAAGATCCCGGTTTTCCTTTGGACTTCCTATGGAAGCACTCGATCCCGGTTTTCTTTTGGATTTCCTATGGAAGCACCCCAAGATCCCGGTGTTCTTTTATGGAAGCACCCCAAGATCCCGGTTTGCTTTTGGATTTCTTATGGAAGCAATCCCAGATCCCAGTTTTCCTGTGGATTTCCGATGGAAACACCCCAAGATCCCGGTTTTCCTTTGGATTTCCCATGGAAGCAGCCCAAGATCCCGGTTTCCTTTTGGATTTCCTACGGAAGCAATCCAAAATCCCGGTTTTCCTTTGGATATCCTATGGAAGCACCCCAAGATCCCGGTTTTCTTTTGGATTCCTTGTGGAAGCAGCCCAATATCGCGGTTTTCCTTTTTGGATTTCTTATGGAAGTTGTCCAAGATCCCAGTTTTCCGTTGGATTTCTTCAGGAGACAATCCAAGATCCCGGTTTTCTTTTGGATTTCCCATGGAAGGAGCCCGCGATTCCAGTTTTCGTTTGGATTTCTTAGGAAGCAATCCAAGATCCCGGTTCTCTTTTGAATTTCCTATGGAAGTTGTCCAAGATTCCGGTTTTCCGTTGGATTCTTTAAGGAACCAATCCAAGATCCCAGTTTTTTTTGGAATTCGTATGGCAGCAGCCCAAGATCCAGTTTTTTTCATTTATAAGCAATCCAAGATCCCGGTTTTCCTTTGGATTTCTTATGGAAGTTGTCCAAGATCCCGGTTTTCCTTTGGATTTCCGAAGGAACCAATCCAATATCCCGGTTTTCCTTTGGATTTCCAATGGAAGAACCGCAAGATCTTGGTTTTCTTTTGGATTTCCTATGGAAGCACCCCAAGATCCCGGTATTCCTTTGGATTTCTTGCGGAAGCATTCCAAGATCCCAGTTTTCCTTTTGGGTTTTTTCATGAAACCAGTCCAAGATCCCGGTTTTCCTTTGGAATTCTTATGGAAGCCCTCCAAGATCCCGGTTTTCCTGTGCATTTCCTAAGCAAGATCTTGGTTTTCCCTTGGATTTCTCAAGGAACCAATCCAAGATCCCGGTTGTCCTTTGGATTTTTATGAAACCAAACCAAGATCCCGGTTTTCCTTTGGGTTTCCTATAGAAGCACCCCAAGATCCCGGTTTTCATTTGGATTTCCTAAGGAAGCACTCCAAGATCCCGGTTGTCCTTTGGATTTTTTAGGGAAGCAGCCTAAGATCCCGGTTTTCCTTCGGATTTTTTGGAAGCAATCCAAGGTTCTTGTTTTCCCTTGGATTCCCCATGGAAGCACCCCAAGATCCCGGTTTGCCTTTGGGCTTCCTGGATTTCCTAAGGAAGCAAGCCAAGATCCCGGCCGGTTTTCCTTTGGATTTGTCATGAAATTAATCCAAGATCCCGGTTTTCATTTGGATTCCCTACGGGATCAGTCCAAGATCCCGGTATTCATATGGATATCCTAAGGAACAATTCCAAGATCCCGGTTTTCCCAGCCCAACATCCCGGTTTTCTTTTGATTTTTCATGAAACCAATCCATATGGGGCCAGTCCAGGATCCCGGTTTTCCTTTGGATTTCCTAAGGAAGCACTCCAAGATCCCGGTTTTCTTTTTGATTTTTTATTGTACCAATCCAAGATCACCTTCTTCTCTCGTTTTATGAAACCAGTCCAAGATCCCAGTTTTCCTTCGGGCTTCCTATGGAAGCACCCCAAGATCCCGATTTTCCTTTGGATTTCCTATGGAAGCACCCCAAGATCCCGGTTTTCCTTTGGATTTCCTAGGGAAGCAGCCCAATATCCTGGTTTTCCTTTGGATTTCCTATGAAACCAATCCAAGATCCCGGTTTTCCTTTGGATTTCCTATGGAACCAATCCAAAATTCCGGTTTTCTGGTGGGCTTCTTATGGGAGCACTCCAAGATCCCGTTTTTTTGTATTATTATTTTTTTGTTTTGATTTCTTATGGGAGCAGTCCAAAATCAAGGTTTTGCTTTGGATTCCCTGTGGAAGCAGCCCAAGATCCCGGTTTTCCTTTGGATTTCCTATGGAAGCAGCCCAACATCCCGGTTTTCCTGTGGATTTCCTATGGAAGCAGCCCAAGATCCCAGTTTCTTTTGGATTTCCTACGGAAGCACTCCAAGATCCCGGTTTTCCTTTGGATTGCCTATGGAAGCACTCCAAGATCCCGGTTTTCCTTTGGATTTCGTATGGAAGCAACCCAAAATCCCGGTTTCTCTTCCGTCTGACGTGCTGCTGTGGGTGCCCTGGTGGCGCGCGGTCCAGGAGCGCGAAAAGAGTATGAACTTTTGTCACTCTTCTGTCCTGCCTGCCGCTGGGTGTTCCGGTGGCCGGCCGCGGTCCAGGAGCGCGAAATGATATTCAGTTTTTATTTTTTATTTTGTTTTGCATGCTGCTGTGGGTGCTCCTGTGACCACGTGGTCTAGAAACGCGGAATTCACATAACTTGTGTTTTTAACGAGTTTGGTGTAGATTGCGGGGCATCGCGGCCTCGGGGTCGCGAATCTGGTCTGGCGAAATGTCGATGGACTGTGGCGTCGGGAGCTCGAATCTGGCGTAATTTGCGAGGGATCGTGGGGTGGGGAGCGCGAGTCTGGCGTAATTTGCAAGGGATCGTGGCCGCGGGAGCGCGTGCCTGGTATAATTGAAGGGGGAGGGCGGCCTCGGGAGCGCGAGCCCGACATGATTTACGATTGACTGTGGCCTCGGGAGCGCGAGTCTGGCCTAATTCACGATAGGTTGCGGCCTAGGGGCCTCGCGCGCTCAGCAACAAGTCACAATTAGAAACTGGAGTGGCTGCGGCAAAGCTTGGCCCTCGCAGCTTGGTGGCCCCACAAGGGGGCCGGCAGGTCCCCCCCCCTTGGGCGCGGCGAACCGTGCCTTGTGTGGATGTTTTGATTGTCTCCCCGGCAGCCCTTGGAGGCTGGAGGCCTCCTCATGTTTTTTTTCTCCGTAGCATTTTTTGTTTCGGCTCCAATAGTTCCGGCACGGTCACTCTGGCCCGGCAGCACACGCGCGAGAGCCACGCAGACATGTCGGAGCAGGAGTTCGCGGTGAGGGTGAACGACCAGTTGAAGTCCACGGAGTTGAGGCTGTGCGGCGCGCTCGGCAGGGACAAGAGGCATGGTGCTCACATGCGGGCTTTCTGGGCCTCGACAGTATCTTTCTTCGTGGCGTTCGTGGGTTGGTTCGCCCTGAGCCCGATCGCTATCGAGGTGGTCCACAGCATCGACGCTTGCGAAAACCAGCTCTTCCCACCGGTTGCGAACCCAGAGAGGAAAGCATTCTTGAAGTTCAAGGCGATCGCGTCGGGGAAGAAGTATTGCCAGCATGGGAAGATCGGAGAGGATAACGATCCGACTGGGTGCCAGGATGTGCCGCAGGACGTTTGGGACGAGAGTTGTGGCGGCGTGGCGGCCACCGCGTGCACGCAGAGCGAGACGCTCACGGACGACGTCGATCTGTGCCCCGAGGCGTGCATGAAATATCCAGCTGCCTGCGGTGAGTCCCGCCACCGTGCCAGCCCAGCATTTTCATTTTCGGTGGCAGCTGTTCGAATCGATGATGATGATGATGATGATGATGATGATGATGATGATGATGATGATGATGATGATGATGATGATGATGCTGATGACGATGACGATGACGATGACGATTGTGATGATGAGTATGATTATTTCCACGAGAGGCTGAGGAGGATGATGGGGAGGCGGAGGAGGAGGAGGAGGAGAAGGAGGAGGAGGATTGTGGCGGACGCGGGGGACGAAAAAACATGATGACGATGGTGATGATGATGATGCTGATGATGATGGTGATGTTGATGCTGATGATGACGACGATGATGATGATGCTGATGCTTATGCTGGTGATGATGACGACGATGACGATGACGATGACGATGCTGATGGTGACGACGACGACTACGACGCCGATGATGATGATGATGATGATGATGACGATGGCGACGATGACGATGACGAAGACGATGGTGCTGATGATGATGATGATGGTGATGGTTATGGTGATGGTGGTGGTGGTGACCATGGTCATGAGGAGGACGAGGACGAGGACGGTGGTGATGAGGAGGAGGAGGACGACGACGACGACGAAGAGGAAAGCCGTCACATGTGACACCTTTCGTCTTCGTTCCTGCAGGGCCCACATGGACCTCGTTTGGTCGTCTTTGGGCTGTCCTGAGCTCCTGAGAGGCAGTCTTGGGGGAACCTTGCGGCCGTCTTGGGCCGTCTTGAGGCCCGCCCTCTTGGGCCGTATTCGGCCGTCCAGGGGGTCCTCTCAGGCCGGCTTGGGTCCCTCCGGAAGCACTTCAGGGCCAGCTTGAGGCCCTCTTGGGTCCGTCCTGGGCTCTCCAGGGGCCCTCTTGGGCTGTCTTAAGGCCGTCTTGGAGGCCTCTTGGGCTACCTTGAGGCCCTCTTGGGCCGTCGTGGGGCCAACTTGGAGAGCTCTTGGGTCGTCTTGAGCCGACGGAAGCGCAAAGGCAAGAATGCGAAAATCGTGCAACAACTTATTATATTCGACGTGGAGATCCCCATATGTACACCTCTTTGTCTCGCGATGTCCGACGGTGTCCGACCATCTTGGGCCATCTTGGGGTTATCTTGGACCATCTTGGAGGCATCTTGGGCCATCTTGGCGGCCCTGGTGGCCTCCCAGGTCCGTATGGGAAGCCATCTTGGGCATCTTGGACGCCATGCAGAGCGCCAAGGAGGCGTCATGGCCGCCCAGAGAGCCTCGGGAGAGGGGGCGATGAATGCAATTGGGCGCGTCGAGCGGGGGGGGGGCCTTAGAAGATTACAGAAACCCTGCCAGACAGCACTTGGCATTCTAGCACGTCTCGACGTGTCAGGGGGCACGGTGGCGGATAATTTCGAAGTCCTCCCTAAGTGCGTTTGCAGCCCGGGCACGCACTGCGGTTCGACGATCCTGTATTCAAGCATCACCTCGGTCGGCATCACGATCTTTGTGCGCGTGGCGCTCGGCACCCTCCTCGAGAGGTTCGGCCCGGTCAATGTGCAGTCTGGCCTCCTGCTCTTCGGAGCCATCTGGGTCTTCGCCGCGGCGGGCATCTCGGCAGAGTGGAACTTCATCCTCATTCAAGGGGCTTACGCCGTTCCACCGACCCGCAGAAGAGGAAAGAAATACACGGGTGAGGCTTTGTTGAGCTCTTGGGGGCCGTTTGCGGGACTCTGAGGGCCTTATGTGGGTCTTTTAGAAGCATCCTGAGGCAGCTCGGGGAATGGCGGGAAGCGCCTCCGGCGTGTACGTTTTTCTGAAGTAGCAATTTGCTCTCACAAAGCAGCCCAAGTATCATTTGGGGGTTGGGTGGGCGACTGCATGAGCACCCTTGCCTTTGTGGCTCGAGGCTGCGGAAATTACCCACCCCAACCCACGCCTGCATCATTTTCCAAGCCTGTCTTTGGCCTGACCGAAGTGCATTGGGTCCGGGTTGGGTTGCTCCCCAGCTTGGAGCCCGGTTGTTTCGCCTTCCCTGAGACCAGGGCGCGACGTGCTTGCCGGACTGTTCGGTACCGCGCGTTTCCGGCCCAGCCCAATCGGCAACACAAGAGTTGTATAGCTTCGGCATTGGGACCAATTTGGAGAGCGGCCCGAAAAATGACACGGCCGAAAATAACGGTTTTGAAGCGGAAATCCTCACCAAACGAGAAGTTATCAGCATCGGTTGTTGCAAAAACGACATTTTCGCTTGAGGCATCCTCCCAAAATGCGGGTGCTGGGGGATCTGCCATACGACGACGTTCCTACAAATGAAATGATGAAGTAGCTTGCAAATATTTCGTTTCTTCGGAAATGAGGCTCTTGCTGCAGACACCAAGAAAACATGCAGCTTCGGATTAGGTGTTTTTCGATACCAATCACTTAAAGATGCAGCTCGTGCTGGTCTGCCGTGCTCCCGCGGTCTGCCGCGCTGGTCTGCCGTGTTTTGTGGTCCGCCGTGCTGGTTTGTAGTGCTGCTGCGGTCCGCCGTGCTCGTGTGGTCTGCCGTGCTAGTCTGCCGTGCTCTTGTGGTCCGCCGCGTTCGTCTGTAGAGGTGCTGTGGTTTGCCGTGCCCCTGTAGTCTGCCGCGCTGGTCTGCCGTGCTCCTCTGGTCTGCCGTGCCGGTCTGCCGTGCTCTTGTGGATTGCCGTTTTGGTTTGCCGTGCTCTTGTGGTCCGCCGTGGTTGTCTGCCGTGCTCCTGTGGTCTGCTATGTTCCTTCTCGTTCTGCCGTTCTGGTCAGCCGTGCTCCTGTGGTCTGCCGTGCTGGCCTGCCGCGCTGCTGTGGTATGCCGTGCTCGTCTGCCGCACTGCTGCGTTGTTGGTCTACGTTTCTAAGTTTCTTTGACATTATCAACGTGCGTTTTTCTGACAGCGTTCGTTGACAAATCGGCGCTTCCCGTTCCTGTCTGGTCAGGTTCCTCGAAATGAGCATTTCGCTTGAGACATGATCGCACGAACTAGATGTTCGCAACATCGCCTTTTATCTAAAAAACTGCTCTTCGCTCGGGACATCCTCCAAAACATGAAAGTCATGAATGTGGCGAACCTTCGTAGCTGAGCGTTTCGCCTGAAACATCCTTGAACACATCGAACAATCTTTTGGAGAAGAACCAAAACCAACATCTTAAGGATCCAGCACGCCAGGCGCCCCTGTGATAAATCAACAAGGGGCGGCGGATATACTGGCCTTCGGCCCATCCCGCCACCGTGCCTGGGTGGTGGGTCAGAGGCCTCTTGAATGTTCGTTGGGATATCGCGGTGGGCCTCTCGGGGGCCTCTTGGAGCAAGTTTCGAAGCCTCTTGGGGGCAGCGTTGGGGCCTCTTGGGGCCTCCTGGGGCCCTCTCGGGGCGGAAAGTTAGAATGTTCGAATCGTGGCCCCCCTCTTGGGCCTTTCTTGTGCGAAGATGAACAGGTTGAGGGCCCGGCTCGAAACGCAGTAGATCAAGCAGTTTGGATATTTTTCATTCACGAGGTGTTCGAGGATTTTAAACACAACATAACATAACAAAATGTGTGCCGCTGCCAGTCGTTTTCTTATCATATCAGGGCATCCCCTTTTGAGCTATCAGCAAATAACAAGTTATCATGTGTGTTCCAGTCATTGACTGGGGCTTCCCTGATTTCAGATTGCTGCGCGTGGTCGGTCGCGTGGCGACCGCTTTCATAGCGGTCGACATCGCGGAGCTTGCAGCGATGAAAGACATCGCGCACCCATTATCATTGACACTGGTAGTGCGGAGCAATGTGTGAGAGGACGGCCGTTATGCAGAACACACGATGTCACTGGCTTGTTGTTGCCACTCTACATATAATATAAAGACCTGTTTCTTGCGATCAGGCACTACATGTCCCATCGAGAACCAGTTCTCGCACCGCTGCGAGTTCAGCAGCACCGACGACGACGACCCTACTCGCATCAAGATGTCAATCACCAGAGAGAAAAAAGGGGCAGCGCACGTTTGGTTGGATAAGGACGGCGCCCCATGCTACGACGGAGATGCAGCGGCAGAGGAATGGGAAGAGAGAGAGAGAGAGAGAGATATAGATAGAGAGAGAGAGAGAGAGAGAGGAGAGAGAAAGAGAGATATATATATAGAGAGAGAGAGAAAGAGAGAGAGAGAGAGAGAGAGAGAGAGAGAGAGAGAGAGAGAGAGAGAGAGAGAGAGAGAGAGAGAGAGAGAGAGAGAGAGAGAGAGAAGAGAGAGAGAGAAAGAGAGAGAGAGAGAGAGAGAGAGAGAGAGAGAGAGAGAGAGAGAGAGAGAGAGAGAGAGAGAGAGAGAGAGAGAGAGAGAGAGAGATCGGACAAGTAGGCGGACCAGGGTCCGTCCGCGAGGCGCACTGCGGTGCGACAACTCGCATGCACTATTTGCGGCGGTGCAGCCTTTAGATACGAGGGCGGGCAACAAAAACCCCCCCCCCGGCGCAGTGCGACAGACGCTACAGACGGCGGACAGACGATGATGATCTCACCTGTCAGACCGCGTGAGGAAAAAGGCCCCAACAAGAAAGGCGACGTGCTGACACGTGGCTAGGCGGCTTGGCAGACCGCCAGTTGGGCGCTTGGCCGCTAAGCGGCGCGCAGTGACGGGGCACCCCCCGCCCCCACGCCCTGACACCGTGGACGCGGAGCCACGCGTACACACGGGCAGGCAGAAAGGAGGAGATTAGCGCGGGGCACCAGGTGGAGCGCCGCGGAACGATGACAACATAGCTTGGATGTTGAGTGACGGCACGGCACCATCGGGCGAGGCCGTGAGCAGCTCGGCAAAGGCTCGCCCAGCACTGTGGAGGCGCTGGAGTAGAGGGCCTTGACGAGCTTGGGCGGCGGCGAGGTCCGCGGCGAGAGCTAAGCACCTCTGCTGGAGGGCAGCCATAGCCTGTGACAGCTCGGTTTCGCGGTCGGTGAGAGGTGGCTGCTCAGTGCCAGCAGCCGAGGGCCTCGAGACAGAGGCGAGGTCCTCGGTACGCCTGTCCAAATGGTGGACTAGCGTAGTACGGGACCCTGTACGCTGACGTCCGTCACCCTTGAAGGGTGACTGGAGGGGCTGACGCGACCCCAGGGCTGGAGCCGCTAGGGCCACGCCCCGAGAGGTCAGGGGAGCCGCTTCCTCTCGCTCAGCAACGATGGAAGCGTGGATGGGGCACGAGGGCCTGTCTGGTTTAGTACCCTGCGGGGGGGCTGAAGCCGCCCCCGCGGGCTGCCGGCGGTGGTGGGGCGGAGTGGTTTGCGCGGTGGGACCAGTCGTGATGCCGTGCAAGGGCTCTGAGGTCGGTCGCGTAGAAGGTTGGCGTCTCGGTAGGGCGGCATGGTCGGCAGCATGTGGTATCGGCGGTGCGTCCTCCATGCTACTCAGTCCTCGGGGGACACCCAGGTCATGGTCGGCGTCTTGGCGGTGGCCGCTATCATCGTATGTGGGCGATATCGCTCTCGGGGACGGAGTCGCAGTAGGGGTCGAGAGGTTTTCCGACGGGGCGGGGTTTTCGCTGGCTGGTCCGTCGTCCAAAGCGTCCGATCCCCCACCGAAGCTGAACAGGTCATCCTCCTGTTCGTCAGCGTCTTGAAAATGAGCGGCGTTGCGATGTGGGTGCGCTGCCGCTCTCGATGGCGGAGTCGGGGGCGCCGTGCGGGAACCCGACGGGGCAGGGCTGGCGCTGGCTGGCCCGTCGCCCAGGAAGTCCAGGCCCCCACCAAAGCCGAACGGGTCGTCCTCCTGCTCGTCGAATATCGCCCGTTGGGCCTCGGCCCAGAGCTCGTCGGGATTCTGTGGGATGTCTGGTCCAGCCGCGGGTGGTGCCTGGTCGGACAGCAGGGGGTTTGGTTCCATTTTGTTTAGTTCCGCAGCTGTGTATCCAGCCCTGCGGTGTGGGAGGGGGAGCGTGCGGTGTCTACGCTCGTAGATGGCGACAGCGACTCCATGAAGCACGGTCGCTTGGCGATGTCGTGATTTGGCAGCTTCGACAATGTCGTCTGGAAGGTTATGAGTACGTGCCGCCGTTGTGGCGAGGGCGTCAGCCTGACGATTGAACTCCTCCGCGATGGGCCCGATGAGCCCGAGGTCGATGCCCATGTCACCCTGGTGGCTGGCGACTTTCTCGACGCGGAACATGTTGGGCTTGGCCATGACGCATCGGTGGACCTTTTCCCAGAGCTCCGCGTGCGTGCCCTGCGGTGGTGAGTGTCCGTCGATGATCCTTTGGAGACCGTCAACCACCGCCTGGTTGTCCACGAAGACGTGTACGGGCCGTTCGGCACATGCCGTGAGGTGGACAATGGCGAGGGTCTCCGCAAGCTGTGCGTTCTGCGTGATGCCGTGAACGCGTGCACTGTAGTTCATGCGGTGGTCGATGCCGTAGTAGACGCCGTAGCCCGCTCGTGCAAGCAATGGGATGGCTTGGTTGGTGCATGCACCGTCCGTGGCAGCGTAGACCCATGTCCAACCAGTGTCATGGTCAAGGTAGGTGGTGTAGGAGTCCTGGGCTGAAGCCGCAGGATCTCCCTCAGGTGGGGGCCGCGGTATGGGCTGAGGTAGCGGGTCCCTCGCGAGGTCGGCCTGCAGGTCGAGGAGGGCTGGGTCTTCATCGAAGAGCCCGCAGTGTCTTGT